ATGTCACCGAATTTTCGTCTCGTCCCTATTCAATTGCAGGAACCAAGTTTTTTTTCCATGCTAGAAACTAAAATTCTCGCGCACATCTGATATGATTTTTGCGGCACCGATCGTGCCTTTTTTTTCTTGTGTCGTACAATTTTTGTTTTTTTTTTCTTTCTTCTTCTTTTGTTAATAAATTCTCTTGGCGATTCTCCGGTCCGAGTGTATTGCGACGGACAACGTCCGACTTCTCGATGTCGCGAAGTAGAACGCACTAGGTTTGTCTTCGCTCAGGTGTGTCTTATAACGCACTTGAACGTCGATTTTCCCGTTGACCTCTCCTGACGAGCTCGAGATCGGGAAACGAGATTTCACGGCGTCCACACACTTCTACGTGTTGCCGGTCCGCGAAAAATGGCCGATGTGTCGTTATAGCACTGCGACGCGCGACCGTCGCCGCGAATATGGGTCAAAGCGCGCAAATGTATGCGGCAATTACCTCTTTTACTATGGCGACTACGCGGATACACGGCAGTTACGCATTTTTAATTGCGCGCCCATTCAGCGTTTAATGGCTACCCTGTCAAACTTTAACTGATATTAATGCAAAGTTAGCGGCAATTATTGTGTGCTCTTTCTTCAGGGCATATCGCCGTTAATCTCTTTTCCCTACGCCTGCTCCGCGTTACCTTTTGCGAACACTTGCCTCCGATTCGTTCGTTTCATCATCGTTTATATCTGGTATTTAAAGTGTGCTTCGACATTTCATATCTTTCTTTCTCTCTTTCTCTCTTTTCCTCTTTGATAAACTCTAATTACCCGGCGTGCACGTAAGAACTACGCGTGGTAGAAAAACATTCAGATTTTGACGGGCAAAAACGATCGGTTGTGCCAGAATTTCGCGGCGGTGAAAACGGAATACTTATTTTATTGCATTCGACAAGGTGGCTAAACTTGACAACTAGCGCAATAAAATCCTGATCGTGAACTACACTTGAGGCGTTTGTGCCAAATGAAATGGCCATTGAAAGTGGCCGGATAAAGTATGCCTACTTGTCTCCGGTATTATTTACGCCTAATCGACCATCAGTCGATTTCGTCATGTGCGGTATAGCTGATCGATTATTAATTGCGGATATATGTCGTGTACGCGCGTGTGGCAAGAGAGACGCTTTCTCCTTCTCGAATCTTATAAACAGCGATCTCAGTGTGAAAGCTCGGCTACGGGAGAGATTGTTTCTTTCGCGGATTGTTTCCGAAATTTCTAGCCACACCCGGTTGCCGGTATCGTATTGACTTCTTATGCCGCGAGGATCTTTGCGCGATGTATTCTCGATTTTAGTGCCCGAGTAATTTAGTAAGAATCCGCGTTTGAAACGGGGATGTCAGTTTGCGTAACAAACTCAGCTACTCCGCGAATTCCACTTAAATCGCTCGAACACTAAAATCAGGGACGCAGTGTTAAATTAGTACACACAAAAAATTGTTGGATATAACATATTTATTTGTGCGAAAATACATATTTTTGCACTAAGAAAGAAATTTTTTTAAATGAGGAAAAATATATTTTCTTAAGTCTGTAGTTTTTTCACGTGAAAGAACAATTATTTGTTCTATATTTAAATAGAAGAATTTAGATTTAAGTAAACATCCGTACAGAATAAATATTATTTACTTATTAGATATTTTTTTCCGTATCTTCCGCTTTCATCGTCATCTAAACTAATCCCGAGGAATTCGGCTCTCTGCGGAAGGGTGAGTTCCCGTTCGCATATGTGCAGATTGTTCCCGGCAAGAAATTTGTCGGGAATTCGACGGCGCCGCACGCGCCTTTCATGCACACACTCATACACACAGGTGTACAACAACGGTCGCGACGCGCGATAAAACTAGCGGTTGGCCCTTTCGCGGCTTATAGAGACGTCCGAGATCGTATCGCGGCCCGCTGCGAGATCTAATGGCTCGCGCCGCGGCAGAGGTGGCCTTTCCGCCGATATCCAGATACACTCGAGACGATACCATCTACGTGAGTAATACCGTGTAATCGAGAGCTCGCATCGCGAGATTACGCGGCCCGGATTAAGCGGCGTTTATCTATCTCTCGACGGGTCGCGCGAGAAGAGTGCCCCGATCGCTCCGGTGAATCGCCCTCGCACACAAATCGCCGCGAATCTAAGACGAACTAATTCGGATATTGCTTTATGTTTGCATGTTCTAGAAGGAGATAGAAATAACGGTAATTTTTACCTCAGAGAATACCGTATCTGAAAACCATACCATACTCGTCAAATTCCATTTGAAAAATGAAGTGACCGTAGGACCATTCGAGTCGGAGTGCTTTCTCACTCTTACGGAATGAATTCTTCACTCTGTATTATAGAGTGGATATTTTCATTTCGTGCCAAATCTAACCTAATCTAAAATTTAATAGCTAATCAATCAGGAAAATTTCAAACAATATTCTTCTATTTTTTCCATTAAATTTCGAGGCCTAAAAAGATATGAAAAGTTTGCGGAAACATTTTTATATACCTTGGTTAGATTTTCCGTTAGGTATGGCAAAACTGTGGAATAGCACACATTCTTCACATTCAGATTTATATCGCATTTACATTTACACAAAATCTATATGCATGAGAAATACCAAAAAAAGTAGCATATTTATGAGAAATACCAAAAAAGTAGCCGTGATCGTATTTATGTGACATAACATTTGAAGGATCGTCTCTACGTCATTGACGTTGAAAGTTTGTTATCGATTTTGGCATCCCTCCGGCCCTTAATTAGGAGCAATTAGAGCTTTGAAGCAATCTTAATTAGATAGGGTCGAGAGCTTAATTAGGTAGATAGATAGATAGATACATATTTAGAATGCCTAAGATAGGCAGATCGATAATTAGTGTCTCTTATCAAATTTCGATTAAGCTAGTGTCTCTTATCAAATTTCGATTAAGCTAATCGACGATTAACTCGTCTATCAGAGTTGCCAACAACGTGGAGAATAATAATTTATTATTAAAACAAGTAAAAGAAACCTCGAAGTTCTCTTCCCGGCGGTACGAGTTCATCCACGGGCAGGATTCTCCGAGTGATCTTTTTCCGTCGGGTCTTCTTCACTCGCACCAATTTTCCGCGAACTAATCTTCCCGATGTCGTAAGTTCGATCGTCTCAAGTGCGGCGCAAGAAGCCGGGGCGGACCGATAAAAATCGCGGGATAACGCGGCCGCGTATCGTAACTGTAAATTTTCCCCGCCGTAATGTAATTCAGCTTTCTCTAAAAACAACCGCTTCGGTTTATCGAGTTATCGGTTGATTCGATCGCGATATCGTGGAACGCGATATCGCACTGTCCCGGACGATATAACGTCTTATGCGTATTATATTCCACGAAGCATGTACGGCACACCCTCCTCCTGTGCCTCGCTTGTGCGAGCTGTTTGCGCCGATTACCGTGAGATTTGCATGGTTTCCACCCTTTCGGCCGCCGTAATAATCAACGTTCGATCCTTGTTATCGTACAACGAGGAATATTAATCTAGGAGCTACCTTAAGTCGTTAAGGCAGTTGGTCCGTAAAGTATCGCATTTTCAATGGTGATATGAATTTACGAAGAAGACTTTTTATCTCTAAGTTTACTGTTTATTAAAAAAAAGTACTTTTCCATAACTTTATTTAACTACCTAAGTAATGAATATTAATTTTTTGAGCGCACAAAATTAAAACAAATATATACACAACATTACAGGCACGAAGATATTATTCACTTTTTATTTTTCTTATTTATGCTTTATTTATTAACATCAGTTGATTTAATAGAGGTGCACACATAATAGAAAGTGATATATGAATATTTAAATATGTATAATATGTACACATACATATACTGCGAGTATTATTATAAATTACAAATTTCCCATGGCTATATTTTCAAAACAGTCAACAAATCGGAAATGTTTGTATAATGCCTGTATATTAGCCCTTAATATCACAGTAATTTCCCATTAAAATCCTAAATGTAGTTTAGAAGAAATTAAAAATGAATTAAATTAAAAACAAGACGTTAACTTCGAGGATATAAGTTAGTTATAAGAACGTCGACTTTAGTTGCGAGTATCTTAGTTTCCGAGCGATTAATCGTTTTGCAGACGTGTAGATGGTATTTCCATCAATATTCAATATTGACATTTAAAAGGATCTTCAGAAAAATAGTGTTACGGATCAACTATCTAAAAATACACACACACACACATAGCGCGCGCAGATTTCATGATACGACGCGAGTAGCCGGGGTATTACATCTTGGAAATGCTATCTGAAGTTTCGGCAAACTGACTGGTTCTCTGATTGCGCCTGCACGATCCACGTGTGGCTTTGATCGATAAAGGAAATTTCCGCGCGCGTTGCGCTACGTCTGTTACTGTGTTCGTTACCGTATAATTTTCGGTCCACGCGCTCGCCGACTAATGCACGATGTTTAACCCTTTCGCGTCGGATGCAACACATGTGACGTATCTCTTATCTCGGATGGATCTCGATGCGCACGCTCTGTAATTACCGCCGTGAGAAGCGAATCCTCTTGCGCGGACCGCGTGCGGCGGGACTCGCGAATGAAAGGAGATTCGTTTTCTTTCGTCCCGAGCCCGGCTAATTGATTAACCTCTACTCGGGCTCTGCTGGTAGCAAGAATTAACGCGATATTACAAATTATTTTAGCAAGCTGTAGGGACAAAAACGCGGGAACCCGTCCTCGCTCGTTAAATACCTCGATTAAATATCGCGGCTCAACGAGAGATTCCATCCGTCCTTCGGAGTTAGCTGTTTACGAGTAAATGTGAAAATTAATCGTCGTACGTCTCGAAGGGTCACGCGTCGGAAAAATGGAAGATGTCGACGATGGAGTTTCGTCAAATTACCCCGCCCAACGTATCAATCGATTTGATCGCAACACCTCGCCGTAATTAGCCCTGTATTGATTACCGTGCGATAATAACGCAGTTGATCGTTCGCTTGTTAACAGGACCGTTTGACTGGTCATGGGGGCATTTCCTCGCTGGGCGGCGGAAACTCGTCGCCCTATTCCGGTGCCCATCACCACGGACACCGGGGAAACGGAAACGGGGGCGGTATGCCCCACCACGGGGGCGCCTCGTTGCCGACTGCCTCCGACTTCCAACCACCTTACTTTCCACCCCCGTTTCCCTCGCACCACCATGCGCCCGCCAGCCCTCAGCACCCCAGCCTCGGCCAACCGCAACACCTGGATTACCTCGTCGGCGATCCGTACACGCAAACGCTCAACACGCTGCACCAGCACCATTACAACCACCTGAGCGCCGCCGTCACCGCCGGCCAGAGGAGCGGCGATCTCAGGAGAGACGCCGAGGGCATCCACGTGGTGAGTGAATTTTGCTTCGAGCGACTCGGCGAAAACACACCCGGAGAAATGACTTAGTAATAATAACAGTTGAATCTCATCAACTGGTTCGTTTTCATTGGTAAAAATTGCAAATTTTGCCGTGCAAACTGCAATCGAGTTGGACGTGTTTAATGTAGTCATTGAATGAACTGTAAAATTGAATCAGCGGTGAAAGATGGACGAAACTGAAACGTAGTCGTGTAGAAATTTTATCAATTAGCAACAAATTAATTTCGAAAGTTATGCGAAGCGTTTTCATCCGAAGAAAGATCCAGCGTCGCGTGCGTGGGTGCTCGAAATTTCATCGATGGTAGGAAAATAATTGGGCGAAAAAGGGGGTCACATCAAAGCGCGTTTGGGATTGTGAGCTTCCGACTTTTACAAGCTGCGCATTAGAAATTGTAAACATCGTAAATTTGCATATCGTGAATAATAGACATCCAAGGTGGAGACTAGACGCGCTGTTTAGAATGCGCGCGCTAAGGAGCCCAGATTCCTTGGGCGCGCGACAAGAACTCGATTCATGTAATATTCAGTCTGCGTCGTCAATTAAAACGACGATCGTCGCCGCTAACGACCCCGTGGACCTCGCGGCGCCCCGTTGCGGTCCAAAACAAATTAGTCCTCTCTTAAATTCTACGATCTTTCGGCGAAATGTTTTACGATCTTACAACCATATTGTTGTAGAATGGTTTGACGATCTCGTTCTTCGCGGACCCGGGTAAGAGGAAGCATAGGTGTATTCGTTGCACCTCTGGTGCCGCGGAGATCCGGTCACGTGCGCCGGTCGCTCGGTCCCGGTACCTCATTAGCGCGCCACCCGGCGTGTTATTTGTAGGACGAGCGCGCCCGGCCCAGGTGTAATAACGGGTGGTATCGATCTATTAGACGAATCGCGGCCAATAAGTCCTCCCGTGACATCGGTGATTGCGATCGTTGATCTTTCTCGCGAACGCGCCGGCCGCGCGACATTTGCATTTGCCACGGTGCGGCGGAGTGTGTAATGCGCCCGCCCTACGTGGAGTAAGTGCGACCTTGGAAAGGCGCTCGTGAGAGCATTCGTCAGTGAAAGAGATAGGTAGACGGACAAATTTATTTCGCGCTGGGAAGAAGGATACAAGCCCTGAGAAAGTTGACTATCATTTACAAAGGGTGTATTATATACTGAATGTCCCAGTTCTTTTGTTTCTACCGCGAGATTCCCGGAGAGCCTGCGAGAGAAAAGGAGAGGGTTCGAAATAATATAAGTGGTGCGCGCGTAGTTGTGAGCGGCGAGCAGAGGAACTCGTCGCCAGCGCTCGCGAGATCGATTTTATGCACAATTCGCCGGCGTTACGGTGCGCAATATTATACCCAAACGTCGGTCGATCTCTCTCTTTAGAACTCTAATAACCATTATAGCAATGGTATTTGTGGTCCACCTTGCTCCCTCGGCATTCACGAGGAAACACCACCGTAATTATCGCATCGGCATACGCTACCACCGTCATTTCTATCCGGATTACCGCTCGGTACCGAAAAGGTGTCGTGTGACGTGCGGCGCGCCGGGAGAAAAGAAGGAAAATACGTTCGACGAAATTCGACACGTGCGCGACGGATGCGTTTTTGACGAAGCCGGGGCTCGTCCATTTTTCGCACACTTCCGAGACGAGCGAGCGGAACGGAGGAGAGCGGTTCGTTCGCGAAGAGCATCTGTCCGGAGGAAGAGAGAGAGAGAGAGAGAGACGGAAAGAGAGCATATGCAGGCTTCCAATTGCCGTGTGCGCGAGTTGCGTTTTACCGACGACTGTGATTATTTTCTGCCATCCCATGTGACGACTGAAGGTGCACGATACCGTTATAGTGTCATTAATAATAACTTTATATAAATAATACTACTATTATTTCTCGGGTTAAAACTGGAAGAAGATATAGTTGAATTACTGAAAGAGGCTATGAAAATTTTGATGGGATTCAGTTTACAATGCTAAACCGTAATTTACTGGAACGTTGTGTGTATTTTTAAATAACGCCAATGGAAACTTTAGCCGTGGACGCTTCCTGGTTGATCGTTAGCTTACTTTTTTCTAACGTCGTTTTTCTCAAAAAAAAAACCGTCTGCGCAACGCAGACGCAATACAAGGCAGAGGCAGGGCGAGAGGCGAAAGGAGGTAACGAGGTGATCGATAACGTCAAACAGCACGAAAAAAAAAAGAAGGACAAAGAGATTACGTCACGCGAACGATTTAATTATGCGCGTATTATGCATGATATCGCTATGTAGCGGACGATCGCGAGGATCGGCATTCAGGGGATGTCACTACTCGTTCGTAAACAAGTTTATCGCGCGCATAATTGATCATTCGCTGAGCCGTTGTTGCTTCAATCTGCAACCTTCAATCAATTAATAAGTAGCATCGCGGAGAGTCCGGTTAGGTCGCGAAATTATAGCGAGCATGATCTCGTAAGCAGATAAAGGGGATTTCGATTTAATCCGGGCAGATGAGTAGTATCCGCGATATCTCGGTAGTCTCATCTTACCTATCTCTCTTTTCTTCCCCTTTCTCTTCCCCTCGCGGAAATAGCCCCTGTCATTCAAGATTGACGAGAACCTGACGGACGAAAGTCATCGAAAGAAACGAAAAGAATCAATATTGCGTCCGATTATGGAAGCATCTCGGCTTTGAGTTTCTCGCTAAAATCCTTGCGAACTTATCGAACAACCGGATTTTACGGAAGAAGTTTCGACTTCCTGATCTACGCGGAGTATCTGAGCAAATCTTTCCAAATTTCTGCGGAGACATTGTGAAGAGGGAGAGAGAGAGAGAGTCATCGTCGTCGGAGCGATGAAACCGCGCAGATAAACGCGCTGCTTGCTTGCGACAGATAGACGACAATAAATAGCGCGCGCGGTTTATCGCGGGAAATCCAGCAGCGGGGCTTAACGACGGGGAATGCGAGGAGGATCCACGGTTACTTCATGCTCGTCGTAAGACGTGACTTTCGGATCCGCTCGGAGGCAAGACACGAAGTCTCTCGTCGGGCTTTCCACCAGGCTCTCTTCCCCCCGGAAACTACACACCGCCGTCTTTCGCATAGTTCGCCATAGTTAGGGAAACTTGAACGTTTAAGGTACTACGCGTCGTCCTCGTCGCAGTCGTCGCGTCTGCGCGAATCCTCCGAATGCTCCGCCGCGCTTCCATCCACCATCTCTCGTCGTCGTTAATACCAGTAGACTAGATCGGCATCGCCGCGGCGACAATTTGCCGAGCGAAATTTCCCGCGTCGCCATAATCGGGGGCGTCGTCGACGTTCTGTGCTTTTAGTACACACCGTCGCCGCCGCGATTATCTCGGTTTGACTTGTGTCTCGTAGCGTGCCATTAGGGTCATAGATCCCGCCGCGAGATCGTTCGATTAATGAGCGCTCGTAATTAGATGTAAATGGTAACGTGATCACCGCGATGCAACCTCGCACTAACGTTTCGTCCCGTCCCGCGTTCACGCACGCGCGCGTCTCCCTTTTTCTACTTCTCTTTCTTCCCCCTCTCTTTCTCATCGCTAAGTCTGTTCTCGCGTTTTTTTCTTCCTTACAGTGAACGTCAAACGATGTCGGCTGAATGCGTGATTCCTTTTTTTTTTTCTTTGCGGAATTGAGTGGGTAATAAAGTGAAATCGATAACGCGACTCGATCGTCGCGATTCAATCGACGCGACAGGTTTAATCGGTCTGTTTCCTTTACTTCTACTTTTTGCAGTCACTAGTTTGCTATGCGGATGAAAGAAAATTGACCATTTTGTTTTCGAGCTCTAACACTCTGTCGAAGGTGTAAAATTAAAATTTGCGTGAATGTAAACCATCGCCAAAATACATGATAGTGTTGTGTAAGTTATTATTATTTCTTGCAAATAATTACTTTTAAGGATGTTTGAGGATTCACGCTCCTAGAAATTAGACTCTAAAACATACCCATGATACCTACAGGAAATTATCAGAAAAATATAAATTAAAAGTTCTGAAAAAGCATTGTCAAATAAGTTGCTTCTCGCGGATTTGTTGCTTTAATTTTCACAAGGGAAAATCAAACGACGCTAATAACACGAGCGAACACGCTTGTAAATAGAAACTGCCACTTGAGCTCCAACTGTTGCAACACAACGGGCGAAATTCATGTTCTGTCCGACAGAATTTAGTATTTTACAGCCGAGAAACATGAGTATGTCGGTTTATCATGCCTATGTCTGCAGTTTTGGTGTTTTCCCCTCTATTTGTGCGTGTTTTCTTTTGTTTTGCAAGCCGCGTTTCCGCGCGAATTTGACAATTTCGCAACATTCCGTAGTGTATCCGCGAAATAAACTCCCCCTGCGACGACGCTTCGCTCGCTTCCCCGCACCCCGTTAAGTAATTTACTTATTAAATTTCGGGCTGACCTTTGGCATTCCCTCGGGGAGGATGCCACGGACGTTTGCTTTGAAGCAAATATGCTAAGCAGTGCGATGCCTAAGATGATGCCAGAGGTATCCCCGAAGGGTGAGCAATCTCGCGTCTTGTGTTATTAGTAAATCGCGTTTTATATATCACGGAAAATTTCGTTATTGCAAAAAGAATAGAAAGAGACAAGAAAGAGACAACAACAGCGGCAAATTAACGCGCTTGAAGTACGCTTTCGAACGAAATTTAGTGCACTTCCTCAATAATTACCGAGATTAATGTAAGAATGGGACCGTTTTCCTTCTTCTTTCTTTTTTTTGTGAGGAAGTATCGGAGGGTCGTCAGATATCAACTTCCGGAAAATGCGCTTTACGGGTTTCTCCGCTCGTTTCTCGATTCACCCTCAACGCGACATAGACGAGACGAGCGCGCTCCGGGAAGAGGACTACAATGCCAATAATCAACCGAGTGGATCGGCTGATCCCAATAGCTCTATCCTTGAAAAGGATAACGCGAAGGCGGCGATGCTGCCGTCGTGATGCCGTCCTCCCCTCGCGCTTCATTGTGCGCCCCACTGTACGTCGAGCGAGCGAACGAGCGCGCGCCCCTTCAGCGTTCTCGCATTTATGCTCGAGAGAGTAGCGTTTGTGACGGCTGTTTTCGGCTAAAGGGGTTCCAACTCGAGAAATCGCTGCCGTTTAGTGACGCGCCTTCGCCGCACGAAGGAGTTAAGAGCGCGTCGGTTTTTTAATCGGCCGCGCGGGCGATACAAAAGCGGATCGTGGATTGGGGTGAGTTTGCGTTGCTTTTGGCGCAAAGGGCGCGTGTTGTGTTTCGACACGATGCACAAGATTTCTTTGTTCACTCTTTAAATTTCTTGGAGTAGACTTCTTCACGGAGAAAAAATATTTAATGTTCTTGTATCATTGTAATAATTATAATAATTCATTTTACGCGAGAGAAAAATCACTCGAATTCGAATGTGACTCGGCTGTCACTCTACTTTTCGAATGAGATTTCACTCGAAGAAATTTAGAGAGTATCTTAGTCTCGCTCTCAAAATTTCTTCGAATGAAATTCCACTCGAAAAGTAGAGTAATAGCCGAGTCACTCGAATTCCAGTGACATTTCACTCGTACGCATAGGGTGAATTCTCCAGTCCGAATCATCAGGTAAAAATTTTTATACGAAATTGAAGAGCGAATGCGGTGCATTCTATTACTCTTACTACAACTCACTTTGAGTAAATTTTTACTCATCTTGAGTGAAATTTCACCGCAATAAATTTATAGAGTAAAGCTTCAAACTGCAAAATCTTCGAACGTTTAATTCATGCTGGCGAAAGCCTCGCGAAGGTAGCGATGTTAAAGAAGATGACCCGTAAAGACCGGTTATTCCCGGCGAAAAGGCTTCTATTGTCGTAGAATGCTGTATGAAACCATCTTATTGTCAGCCTAATCAAATATAGTATCATAAATATTCTTGCTTTCCTTTTCTCGTGTCAGTCCAACTAAAGGAAAAAGTATTTTCTGAACTGTATCCACGTAGAGAAATCGTATACATTCGGCCAGTACTGGAGACTGGCGAAGTATCAACTCAGTGCTAAAATATGGATTATAAATACATTTCTATCTTCCAATTCTACTGCAAATTATACCTTGTCAAAAGTAAGTTTTAGCCTGCAAATCTTTTCTTCTTTTGAGACGCGATTAATAAATTGTTTCCAAACAATGTTGAAACGATGTTGAAATTACAGTCGAAGACTGGTTTATATATCTTCGAATCGACTTAAATTTCGACGTTGGATTTTTGGCGTTGATTCGACGTCGAATGAACTCTATATTTCCGACTGGGTAGAGAAATAGTTCTCCGGATTGTAATCCTTTCACCATGATGATTGTAGTTATAAATTCTAAATACTTTTCTCTCCGGGAAGTACATATCAGTATCAAATATCTGGTACTGTTCATTAAAGATCGGTACCGAGGCGGTATCTCACCCGCAGTTATTTCCTACTTGGGTAACTTTTTAATTAACGGAATATTATATTTTCACATTGACGAGATAAAATGTACACGATTGATGCGCTCGCGACGCGTCTTGCGCGGTTTACACTCGCAGGCGACGTAAATAATACGTTTTACGAGCGCAGTTTGGCGCGGCACGACAACACAGGACGAAATTACATAATGAGAGATATATCGCCGCGATGCAAGAATGCAGGCGTGCGCGTATTAACGCTCGTCCGTCTCGTCCCGTTGCGCCGGCCGATACACGCCGTCATTTATCAGTATCGACGTTACCGCGCCGGCTGTACACGTGATTTTATTTTAGCGGAGAGCGTTTAACGAGAGAAAGGCGATCACATTTCATCTCATTAGTCGACATGGCGCGCTGCTCGCCTATCAATGCGTGTGTACACATATCCAATCGGCGGACTCGTCAATAACCCCAGAAAGCGGTCTCGGCAGACACGTTAATTAGCGTTGTGCCTTTCTTTTTTTTACGTTCCCGTGAAAGCGCCCCGAGTTCCACGGCGATGGCAGAGGCGTTATGCGACAAAACGTATAATTTTCGACCTCCTAATCACGACGCACGAGTTCGGACAGTCATTACCTTAACGCTCTTTCTCTGTTTCCCCCGCATCTGCCGAACGATTCTCCATCGCGAGAACGCGCCAAGTAGCGTCGCTATCGATCATATCTCGCTCATTAGGTGTATTTGCTAATCGGAACGCGGCGCGTTTCTCGCGCGATAGGATGATGAATCGATCGCACAGAGCCTCGTTCTCGCGGGCACGGACGGTAAAAGCGATATCGAGAATATGCCTCCTCTTATGACAGTTAAAATGGGCGGTTTGGCCCTTCGCAGGAGGAGAGGGAAAGAAAAGCGGGCGCGAAATCGCTCAATGACCGGCCGTGGACATAATTAGGACACGAGCGGGAATCGAAAGCGGAATACGCGGAACCGTCAGCGGCCGAGAAATGCCGATCGTCCCTCTCATCGGGAGAATTCAGAATACCGTTCGCGCGAGAGCTCTTTTTCCTTGCCCCGTTACGTACGTATGAATGTACACATGCACACACATGTATGTATATATGTCGCACGTCGATCTAAACGATCTAAGCGACGGAGGAGAACAACGGACGGGAACAATCTAACGAAGAAATCGGAGAAACTCGCTCGGGCGATTTCTTCCGCGAACGCGCGCGAGAAGGATGCAGAACAATAATGGGCAAGGGCTCGTGTAATATAACCGTATTTGCGACACACGAGCGCGACTCGCAGTCTGGATAAAATCGCCAGTTTTTCCGCCGGCGGCCGTGATTAAGATTCCGAGCATACATCCGTCTTGTTCGCGGTTTCTCAGAAGACTCAGAAAGCTCGGTCTCACTATCGTTCGCCCGCTTATCGTTTCCCGTATCGCTTACGTGCGTTCGTTCGTCACATTTATATGTGCTTACGTGAGAAAATTCATTCTTATGCTATCATCCGCCGAACGTTTCCCCGCCTCTTTCATTATTCCGCGCGGAGATCTCTCGATTGATCGTCGTTTCTACGCTCGCCGATCGTCGCTTCGGGGGGTGGCGCGCGACTTCCGAAGCATCTTCGCGTGGAAAAGAATTTCCATTTCTGCCATTGAATAGGGATGAAACGGAAGTTCAGCGACGAGAAATAATACCTCTGTTACCGCAGCCGAGAACATTCGTGTGCATGAAAACTCGATCGAGATAATTGAAAGCAATCGACTGCACGGGATCAAGAGTTCCGTAGAATTTATCTGAGAATGGACGAACCAAACGCGTTGATTGAAAACGGAATTTCTAGTTATCATGAACTAAATTCGGTTCTTACAACTAGACATTCTATTTCCTTTAACCGAAACGCATTTGGTTTGTTCATCGTCGGGTAGATTTAATCAAACTCTTTTTTCCCGCGTGTGCAGAAATCTTCTGTAGGAATCTTTCCGATGCCGCGACCGAGTTTTCCGTCCGTGCCCCTGTTCTTCCCAGGCAACAGAAAATTCAGTTACGCTAACGGGATTGTTTTTCCTGCAAGTTTTTCCTTCAAGTACGATCGCCTGTGTTTATCCGGAGAGTAACGCGAGTAATCACGAGCACGAGGGACTCATTAAAGCTTCTCGTCGTCGTCGTCAGCGGCGGCGGCTTATTCGTCTTTATCGATGACATAAGAGGACTTTTATAGCGAAAGAATTCCTGCCGGCATCCTTGCGGCTCCGTAATGTAAAAAAAACACTGTTGCACCGTCGCGATAACGAGTTTTCGTCTGATTCGCAAAGAAAATTCAGTTCGACATCGAAGAAATTGTTTTTTCCTTGCGATTATTGCGCGTCCGCTCGAGAAATATCGTTGCACATCGGTTCTATGATAAATGTGAACAGGAATGTAAATATTCAATAGGTGTGTGATAAATACGCGTCAGTGCCTAACGACTAATTGCGGATGATGCTTCTTCGTTAATGACAGCACTTGGTTATGACTCACCGTGTTCCCCTCATTATCATCCTAAATATAGTACAAAATCCCTCTCTCTCTCTCTCTATCTCTCTCTCTCATATCTTGCCCTGGCAGGATACCGAGGATTCCTGACCGTCACGGATCCGTTATACCGGTAATCGAGGCAATTTTTCTCCCGTGGACAGCAACCTTTTACTTCGTTACCGACCTCCGGCCTTTACCTATTTACCACCTATCACCGCGCTGTATAGCTCACCGCAATACTAAATTAACGTTTGCTACGGGTATCGAATTAGATGTAGGATAAGGAGATACGTGCGCGCAACGACCGGACGCGAGGTTTTCAGCAAAACCGCCGTCTGCATCGTCGTTTACGCGAGCGCGCAGGTACGTCGTGCTTCGTCTGCCGCGAAAGGTCAAGTAATATTAGAGGGATTGCGACGCGAAAGTTCAATAAATTTAAACGCAAGTGAGTAAGTAAGCACGGGACCGGTAACGGTGGCGGCGACCGGGTGGAAGGGTTGGCGCTGAATCTCGGAAAATAGCAGTTCCCGTTCGCTGATGTGCCCAAGAGTTCAGTAAATGATCAGAGACGAGAGAGGGTGTCTTAAAGATAAGAATACGTTGCTCTTCGACTACCGGAAGGCAGCCATTTAATCATCGTTAATTATTCATTTATTAGTTAAGCATTGCAGTTTAGATATGTTACGGGCTGTTAAAAAGAGGTCCGTCGGAACAACTTGAACAGAATTGACAAAATTCAACTTCAGGACTGTACGTGCGGCGAACCAACTGGCCCGTCGGCACAATTTCGGTGTTGTTTCAACTCTCTCTTTCGTTTGTGCAAAATCATTTCTCACAAACGCGTATTTATCGTCCGATTTGGTTAACCTTCCGCAAGAATTACTCCGGCCTTTTAGCGAGGCGACGGTGTGCCGGAATGAGTGGGACCGCGTGGGAAAGGCGATATCACGCTGATTAGGACGTCGCTTCTGATTTCAGACGAACATGCACGCGTCGTTCCCATACGACGGCGGACGCAGCAGCGGCGGGGGGGGCGGCGGCGGGGGCGNCCATACGACGGCGGACGCAGCAGCGGCGGGGGTGGCGGCGGCGGGGGCGGCGGCGGTGGCGGAGGCGGTGGAGGTGGAAGGGGCGTCGAGTATGGCGCCGTGCGTCGTCCTGATGCCCTCCTACCGCCTCCGGGCCTCGACCAAACCGACCTCGTTCTGCACAGCAGCCTCGTTGACGACCCCCAGGTGAGCGACGATGTACGTAATCGCAACATATTTTCTCTATTATCATACCTACGACGATGACGACTCTCTTCGGCAACATCGCGCTCTTCGAAAGTCCGCCACGGGATCGAGTGAAGATTCAAAATGATTTCCCACGGCGGGGGACTTTTCTCGAGGGGAGAGCAACGTGATCGTCGTTCTCTTTCTCCCACCTCGCCATCCGCTTCCGAAACAGCGGAAACAGTCGCGTTAAATGTGAAGTTTCAGAGCGCGCATCGGTTAAAACAGAATGCCAGACGCGCTCGTTATGTTGCGAAGCACGCGCGCTTTGCCGCGGTCAGAAACATTTTTCCTTCTCTCGCAGGTACGTGCCAAAAGTTTCCGTTTAATGTAAAGCGGCGCTGAGGATATATTGTGTATCAGCGAATTCCCCGCGGTGAAGCAAACGCGTTATCGCGTCCGCTCTTAGATTCTTTACCACGGAAATCTGCTACAATGTGTCAAAGATGTGCGTCAAATTTCACTTCTCGGAATTAAAGCTACTGAACTTTCCCCGCGAAAAAATTCTCCTTCAAAAATAAAAGGAGGGAAAGTACAGTTACACGCGAAGCTCACTATTAGACGTTAATGCGAATTATTTTCCGCTTTTCAGAACACAAACGTGGACGATGGAGGGTTCATGAACGACCTGCCGCTGTTAAAAAGTGAGTAATTGTACTGCGTAACATATATCATGTCTCTGTTATGTTAAAGTGCGATCGCTCTCTGTCGGTAAAAAGGTTAACTCTTAAATTACAAGCTCGACCGGCTGTGTCACTCTTCCTCCACGTGTTAACAGAAAATAGGCTTTCGAAAAGGCAAAAATCGAGTGTAGGAAAACATGATTTCGTTCCAAGAGCAAATGAGAGTGTCCTAAGGACAAAATCATTCGGCGGGAATATTCTTCAAATTCTACAAATGGATACTAATTTCTTCCTGCATATTCAGCTGCGGGAACTTTTCCTCGAATTTCGACGGCCGCGAGAGCATCGCGCGCCGCGTAACACAGAGAGGGCCGGGCGTACAATGTCTCCACCGGCGCGCGGCCGAGATCGTTCGATTCGGAATTTATTCCGCGGCTGAATTTACGCGCGTTGCACGCGCGTAAAACGCGAGCGCGCAACGCCGATAAATACGCGCGCCTGTGCGAAATAGCGGGGGCTGCGGCATAATCCCGATATAAAACGGTCACTGCGCAACCGGAAATATAAAGTAGTCGCAACGGGGTCGCGACTTTCCTCTCCTCTCCCTCCCTCTCTCACTCGCTCTTGTCGTCCTTAATTGGAATTTATCTCCCTTTTTCTACACGGCGCGTCAGGAGCAACGAAGCGGACTTTTAACCTTCCGCGGGAATAAGTTTAAGGATGCGCGTTCTCGCCCGTAAAAGTGACGCACCGGTGCGCTCTTATTATGCGAGCGTCGCTCCTCTCGCGATATCGATGGCTCGCGATAGCGATCGCCCAGACCTACATACGGGGTTCCCTATCGGAGCGCATCGCGCGAGTCGCTAAATTATCCGCTGGTTAACACACACACACACACACACGGTTGAGTTTCAGTCTCGGCTTCCTTTTTGGGGGAGAGGTTAGCTCCTCAGCGTAATGGGATTACGCACCGCGCGGCGTAAAACTCGCGACGATGAGATTACTCAGCGGAATGTAAACGTACAACGGCGAGACTCGTGGCCGGGGCGTTATCTCGCCGAGAACAGGTGATTCGGATTCACAGCGTTCGGTTACACGATTACGCGATTAAAAGTTCATTCTCATTATCCATCGGGCAGGAGTCCATCGATTCCCCCCCGTCCGAAACTTTCTTCAACGCTTTTGTATCGGAATATTCACAGTATCCGTCACCGATATGAAACCATTGAGGAATGTTTTTTTTATTTATTCATTCATTTTGATAATATCTCTCTTAAATTTTCGTTTCTGCCGTCAAAATAGGTCGTTTTGAAAGTTTATCTGAATTTAATAATCGAAATATCGAGGACATCCATAATTTCGAGATTGCATTTAAATGAAGTCTACAGAAGTAAATGTTCAAGAAAGAAGTTAACTAGTGTCGTCACAGTAAGTTTTTGCTAGTTTATAGGCAATTTAAGTAGAAGCAAGCTATCCTTGAGAGCATCGAAGCAGAATCGAAAATTTCGATCCGGGCGATCTCGTGGAATTCTGCGCGACCGGCGATGCGCGATTACGCAATCGCCATCGAGTTCACCGGGCCTCGCTGAGAAAGAGGATGTATTGCGGATCGCGATGTCGAGGCAGGTTAATAAGGAAACTTGCGACACGTCCAATTCCGCGAGCGAATACGCCTCTCGTCGGCGTGTCAATGCGAGATTGAATCGCGGCCAGCCGTCTTGCGAAAGTATCACGCTCAAGCTAGATCGATCGTGTCCAATCAGCGGACCAACGGGGAGGTCTCTCTTTCTCTCTCTCTCTCTCTCTTTCGAGAAGAGTTCGTTCGTAGAGCTTACACCTGTGCGGAGAGAAGGAGGTGGATCTGAGTGAAAAAAAAATGACTCTCGCTTTATGAATTAAATATGAAATCATGCCGCATGATTCATGGCGAATAATATGGCAGTAATTTTCGTATCATTTGAGCCGACAGAATGTCAAAGGCGCCGCGCGCTTTCTCCCGAGACGCTAAGTTAGAAACCGTGGACGATGCAATTTATTTCAATCCGCCCTTGATAAATAAATCGTGAAGCAACGTATATTCACGAGAATGATCCTCCTACCGTCTCTACCGCGTGCAATTCTGCGCGAATGGAAACGCTCTGTATCCGGTCGTACGATGAACGCTCACGACAACGTTCCGCGATCATTACTATTCGCGTAAATGTTGCATCTAACGGCGCACGGGAGCGAGTCTGGATACACCTGGCGTTACATTAGCGTTACATTAGCTTATAACTAGTCTTAATATTGTAACCGGAGTTACTTGCACAAATTTCACGGGCTGGGGAGAGCGAGTTGGCGCAAGGATCGTATTGTTCACGCGTTTCGTCGCACGTCACGTTGAAAATGGTAGAAAATCCTAGTAAACGAGTGTTAAGGGGGATGCCAAAGTCGGTGACGAATTTGATAAGCGTCGATAACTTGCCGTCGATGTCCGGTGTACATCGATACAGCGATTTAGCGGACGTCGCTCGGGAAACGTTGGAGGAAACTCGACTTCCCCGGGCCCACGTACAGCCCACAAACATATTACGCGACAACCCTCGGCCCTACCGCGGTAAATTCTCATCGCCTTTTCGGATCGTCGCGTCGCACAATGGCCGTAAAACCTACCAGGTCGCATAAACGAATCGTCAGAGAAAGAACGCAACGCCTGTGCGTACGTGCGTCGCCGAACTGAGGTGTGAAGGAAAAGAAAGAAAAAGCGAAAGAGAGAGAGAGAGAGAGAGAGCGTGCATACACACAGTGCGCGCCCGGCGGCGGATCGGATTTCGCTCATTGTCATTGTAATTTCTTGACGGGGTGTAGTTTTCGGGGCGTTCCTCACCACAGGGGTATTACCTACAGATGGCTGTTTGTTCGAATGTCACCGAGGGTTATTATATGCCTCGTTACTCGCTCTGTGACAGCTTATTTGGCCAGTTTTTCTATCTTGCCGCCTTCTCCTCTCCCTGCCTCCCTCCTTCTAGAGTTCGCTCTCTCTACCTCGTGCGCGTTTCTCGGCTCTTTTTCCCTGTAGCTTCGTCCATTTTCTGAAACTGGAAAATAGGCGCGAAATTTTACATTTCATTCCACGGTAAAATATAAAGCGTGTGTCGCGAAAAGGTGTGTTCAAAAAATCTTTCCAGGCTTGTGGTACTCGACAAATTGAATAAAAAAAAAATCAAGAAAATATTACAAAGGGTCTATAAGAACGAAATTGTAAGTGCATAAAAAACCAAGGAAATTATCAGCCGCAATGTAAAATACAGAAGAAAAAATGTCCATATATATCCTAAAGTTATTATCATTGACATTATATAATAACACTTATAGAAAGATGCTTCTCCTGACTATAATTCTATTACTCATGCGATTACAAACACGAAACATTTTTTTTCAGTGCAATAACTCTCTAGTGGCTTTCGTTGACGTGAATCGTCGTTGTCCACGCGATTGTCTTGATTAAGAGGTCTTCGATTTTTCTGGTGGGTGGGGATTTATCGAAAAAATCCCCTCGAGGGATGACTTTCCGTGGACTAGAAGAGACAAGACATAAAACTCGCACACTTGCTCCTCTCACGTGTCCCGATCGGTGACAGTAACGGCAGCGATATATATCGACGTATAGCAAAGCGCGTTCCGCTTCTCGGAAGCCGGTTATACAATTATCGCGGCTTACCTTGGCTCCGTCACTCGACGACGTGCTCCAGTTTAACTTCGCTACGAAGTATCGAGGACGAACGGATTTCACCGGCGTCGTCGACGCTCTAACGAAATTTCGATCATAGGTTAATATACTGAAAAAAAAATGTTTCCTATTTGTAACTACAATCGCATAAATGAAAAAAATTATAGTCGTGAGAACCACTTTTCTAATCTAGTGTTACGATAATGTCAATGAGATAATAACCTGATATGCGTATTGTTGCTATTATTTATTAGATTAAAACCAGTATTCTATCACTATTAAATCGTACTATTCACTAAAAATCGGTACTGGGCCAGCACCTCGCCAGCAGTTATTTCTTCCTTAGGATTTCTCTCAGTGCACGTGCGCTCGCGGTCCGATTCAGCCGCGTGTCGTCGACGAGTTTCTCGATCCGTCGATTACGTACTCGACGCGAAAATGGAAAAAAAATCGCTTCCGCCAAAAGGATCCCTCGAAAGCTCCGTTGTTCTTTTATTTCCGATGAAAAGTCGACATGCGTATAGATAGTATACATACGATCCACAATTTACAATAACAAATAACCGATCGATAACAATAGTGCGCGCGCGTGCGTGTGTCCGGCGGTCGAAACCGGTCTGGGTTTTTAGTTTTAGTTCGACCGATCAAAACAAGTATGTTTGTTCGATACCTTTGAGAGTAACTACACGAACTATATACAACTATATGCGACTACAAACTGCGGCCGGAAACAATTGGAAACTGATATTCGTTCCACCCAGTGAAAGTCACCGCGTGAAATCGCGCGTGTAATTGTGAAAATAATAAAACCCACCGCTGAAGATTTAAACTGGAATAAAAAAGACTGTGTCTACGATATTCAAACATATATTTAAAAAAAAAAAGTACACGCCCTCGTATATTTGCCGATTTATTCGACACGTGTTCCATGACGCGAACAAACGCGGATTCATGGTATCGTCCGTAATTCTGCCGTCGAGGTACCGATCTTCGAGATACAACCGGTATTAGACACAATTAATCATTCGAACGAGGCCAACTGAAGACGCACTTGCGCGACGTTAATGGTTCTTTTTCATTCACATGTTCGATATCTACTCGGTCACTTCTCGCGCGCTGCGATGGGGTCTTGTCATCGCATTCTTCGTTCCCACACTACTCCCGGATCCGATCTCCCGTGGCAGATGCGAGTGGTGGACACGCGTCGTCAAGAAATCGAAATCAAAATTTCTAACGACAAGCTTATATTCACACCGGCCCTGTAGATTACTAACCAAGGTAGAACCAGCCTATAAGAGCTTAATCGCGATTG